CCCCCCCCCCCCCCCCCCGTAGTGTAGACCTAGCCTTAGACGTCCTTGTACCATCACCTGGTGGCAGTCTACAAATAGCACTTTGTTTCACAGCTGGACCTGCCACAACCTGATTGCATCCATGGGAATTGAGAGTGGTCAGTATCTTGCAGAATTGGGCCCAAATACCTTACTCAGTTTGACGTGAGGTGTCAAATATGCATGTGAAGTGACAGGCATTCATGGTATTGGTTAAACCAGTCCTACCTGAGCCAAAATCCCTCTTGCAGACAAGAATTTGGGAGCTTATGGAGTGAGAAAGGAAAATCCAAGGAAGAGTGAAACTAAAACCCAATGCTCTTTCCACCATTTTAACATACAAGCCCATTTCCTATTAGGGGTACTGGAGATGGCAGGGTTACAGTTTGGTTCAATGTCTTTCAGCAAATCCCCTTCCCCTTAAAAATTTGCCAGCACCGCTGTTTCCTGTTCTTTGTCAGGTAAGACTGTTTTGGGCACAATGTACCACTTTACTTTGTACCAGGAAAGCCTGTCACTGAGCTCCTGTGGGAATCGCTGCAAAATCCTCTCAGTCCGTCCATTCCCTGACCAAAGTACTTCCAAAACATTCTGGGAAGACCTTCCAGATAGCCACGTGATTGTGCAGAAGCAGCAAAGTGCCCACTCTGGTAAGTCACTAGGGGAAGGACATTCATTCCTTGAGTAGTTTGTTGGGGGGGGTTATGAAAAAGATCTTAACTTTACACAGCTCAAAGCAATTACTCACTATTCACACAATTGAATGGCATGTCTGTAATGGTGAGTTAGTGTGCAGCAAGCTCAGGTGTAAATCTATAGCACTCTAGTAGGCTGCGCGCTAACTGTCCGTGTGGGCACTGGTGCTGTGCACTAAACGTTTCTGGCTGCAGCAGCAAGGTTCACACAGACAGTCAGTACATGGCACACCGGAGTGCTGTAAATTTAAACCAAAGCTTGCCACGCACTAACCTGTCGTGTAGACAAGCCCTAATTTTTTGCAGTTATGACAATGGATTTCCCCCCATAGGAATTATAAAACTAGCAAAGATCATCTGCCCCCGAATAACTGACCTTTTCTGCTAAATCTTAGGCCCTAGGGCTTCTTTACATGGGGAAATTGACCAGTATACCTATAACAGATTAAGCTATTGCGGCCTAGCTGTGCCGGTCAATTTCCCTCTGTAGACAAGCCTTAAACCCCACCTTCCTGCATTTCTAACAAACCCCTAATTACCCTTCTTATCTAGAAACAAAATTAAGTGAAATCTGAATTTATACAATGTACATATTTATTGAGCTTCTTTTTCTAAAACAATCTTCCTCTTAAAATAAATAAGTCAGTACAGTGTCATTTAAAAGTCCTATGAGTGTAATGTTGTATTTACTGTAGTGTATCAATCAGCAACTAGATATCGCTGGGTGCGCTATAGAATTTCAGGCAGGCTGTGGTTTCCGGTGAACAAAGGAGACAAGGCTGGAACTCAACCTGAGTGGAAGCCTGTTTGTGTTTGTAGTTTGTATTTGTTCTCTTTAATAAATGCCTCCTGGTAAGATGCTCTGTGCTTGTATGCATCATGACAATGTGATTAAAAGTAGGAGGCCTAAGGGAAGGACAGATTTGGGACTCTTAATTTTTGGTCCACCAGCCGCAAACCATGTCTACACTAGGTAAAAATGCATCACAAGAAATCACTGTTTGGAATGCTTTGAGCTTTGTAACACTAGTATCAATGTCTTAGATCACCACCCAACAGCCACCCTAGATATTTTAGAAGTGTTGACTGTAACAGTCCTTTGCAAAACCTGGAGCAAACTGAAAATCTAGCTAAAGTTACAATAATTTCTTCTCAGTGGGTTTAGGAAGCCAGACGCATTTCATCTTCACTGATTTGGGTGATTCTCAGAACGCTGTATCACAGCATAGTTACATTTGGAAATTCCCCTTCTCCCAGCAACCGTGCTGGAGATATTGGTGTAGATTGTTCCTCAGTCCCAGAATGCACTGGTACAATTGTAAAGTGTGCAGTGCCTGGGCACATCAAGATGGTTGTCAAGACAGAGTAGCTGTGTGGAAGTGCTAAACCATTGCAGGGCAAGTATTGGACTAAACCATTCCATGCAGTCAGGGTCCTTGCAATGCTTTCCTTGCTCAGTAGTAGTAGCCATGTCATGAGAGAAAGGAGGGTAGGAGTATGCCAGAGCTGGTGAGCTGCTGTTGAGTACCCACTAGGAATTGACTGTATTGTGGTGCTCAGAGGATCTCTCTTACCCTTCTCTCACCAAAGAGTTATGTTGTATATTCATTTTCAGGTGCAGGGTGGGGCAGGGAATTAAAAGGCACAAACAGTAGCCCAAAGGTAGTGGGGTGGATGAAAGCTTGTCAGACCTCACTGAGGCTGACCTTGCTTCTTGCTTAAAAGCTCCCTTAGTTCAAACTCTTAACAGGGCAGTAACTGAGCCTGAAAGGAAGAGTGTAGGCTTGGATGCCTGAGGCTGTCTGCTGCAAAAAACAAAAAAAAAGAACCCGAAATGTTCCTGTCACATGACAATGGTAAAGCGTCACACAAAGAGCTACACTAACACTGACAAAGGCACTCTATTAGCATAAGGGAAATGCTGTTATCCTGAAAGCGCCTCTCTCTGCTTTTACTGTAGAGCACCTGAATACACTTTGCCACAGCTCCCCTCCTACCTGCTTGCCTCTACAGTTTAAATAAATCGTACATCCCCGCAGTGTCTTTTCCTGTGAGAAGCATAATCTAAGAATACACCATCTCTGTCTTGTTGTGCCAACTCCAGTTTTAAGCAGAATGTATTTCTCCCCCCCGCCCCCCCCAATCAATCTTATGTCCTATCCTGAGCAAGGACATTAGATAGACTCTGCCAAACAAACAAACAGGCTTTTTCAACAAGAGGAATTTCATGTATTCGCTGGCTTTAACCAACAAGATTCCTCTCCTCCCTGTGCCCCATATAGAATGTTTTGTTATCAAATACAAAACATGACACACAGAGTTAGAAATGCCACCAAGCTGGTTTTGCACAGACAATCCTGTTTTGACCTGGACAACCTGGTTTTTGACCCTCTTGGCCCAGGCTGGGTTGAGTCTCAGGCTGAGCCTACACAGTTGACTCTGTTCTGGATGTTTTAAATATTTTAATTTAATCTGCTAATGATTTTATTTTAGATACAGTACAATGAGTGCACTTAATAAGTTCATGGTGGGTCTAGAGATATTACTGGTTCCAACAAGGTTACCTTTATTTACTATTGAAAATACTGTTTGTTAGAGCCCACCATAACTCAAGAACTAGAAAGCAGTCTGTAAGTGGCCCCCCTGTACATTTGCCGAGCAGCTCAATATGCCCTGTAAGTGTCGCAGTTTCCCATCCTGTTGCAAGAGCCCTACCAATTTTCAAAGCGCGTATGAGGCATGTCTAGGCTGCCCTACTCTATGATTCCTGCCTGCCCCTGAAGCCATGAACTGCCAGAAGCAGCCTCTGCCTGTTTGCAGCACCACACCAGCTCGCCTGCTCTAAGCTCCAAAGGCAGAGAGTTGTGGCCATCAGTCCCCTAAAGTTGTTAGCAGCCTGCTCTCTCCAGTTGATACTTACTTATACTGTGGTGCTGGGTCCTTTCAGCTCAGCACTTCAGCTTCCCTAGTCTCGCTGTATTCTTCTTGTTCATGGATGACATAATAAGTGAGGAGTCCAGGGGGTGCTACGTGTGATGGCCTGGTTTGCACAGCCTTTGAGCTTGCACTAGCTTTGGTTGATGTCATGAAACTAAGCTTTTCTAGACCGATGCTTGGAGCCTCTCACACACAGATGTAAAGCCATAAGGTCTGCCCTCATGCAAAGCTCTGGCTTATGACCTTGGCCTTCCAGGTCACATTCAGCAGGAAGGAATCTACAACTGATCTTTCAGTCAGAGTGGGAAATGGGGAGCGTGCAGCACTGGGATGCTCAGTCAGTCAGGGCTGTATCTGGCTCTGTTCAAAGGGCCCTCTGTCACAATGTGCTTTCTGTCCACTTTCAAAGGCACTGGAGCCTTAAGAAGCAACACTCTGTTCTGTGGAGAAGGAATGTTGCCCTTCTGCCCCCATCAGATACTGCAGCTACAAAGGCATGCCCCACTGGGGCGTTCAGGACCGGAACTGTGGGAAGCGGCCAGCCCTCGGAGGTAGAGTGTGAGTCATTCTTCAAATAGTTAGAATGACACCACAGAGCTCACCCTGTCAAATTCAACAGCTACCACATGCTGGTATTAAGACACACCATACTATAGCCCAGCTTCACTATGGCCATGCTGCATGGCCACAGAGAGCCAGTTATTTGCAAGTTTCTCTTCTGCCATCCTGTCCACGCCCCCCCTTGTCCTGACCATCCCCCATCCCCCAAAAGCTCCTCATATGCCCCCTCCTTTATTTTATGCTGGGTGTGGGGTCGGCTGACATAGGAGGCAGCAAACCTGCCTTTCTCAGCTGTCCACCAGCAGAGAGTTCCTTCACAGGAGAAATTCACGTAGCTGAAGTTGCATAACTTAGATCAAGCCCACCTCCCCCCCAGTGTAGACCAGGCCTTAGACATTCTCTTCTGTTTTGAGATTTCTACTGGTCTGAGCCCCTCCATCCCATACATGCTGAACACCCCTGGAACCAGTGATGTGTACCCAAACAAAAGAGACTTAAGTGCAAGTGTAACCCACACACCTCCTGGGTGTGGTGTTCTGTCCCATCTAGTGGCACGGAGACCACTTAGAGAGAGATTAATGAGTTTACTCTACAGCCTTAGCTAGCAGCCAGTTGGCTTTTAGCTCATGCAGTAAAGGCTCATGCACTGAGGTCCCAGGTTCAATCCTGCCTGCTGACAACCAGGGTCTGTCGGCATTACACAATCACTTCATCAACCTCTGAAATGCAGCTACCCTGAAGAGGACCCCAGCATGTAGCTACCAGGCGCACAATAAAACACAACACCACACCACCACACTTTAGGGAAATACACTGTATCCAATTAGAACTGTACGAGGAATTCAGATGGGCAGAAAGTAATTACCTAAATTAGAATATGTCCAAGGGATTAACACGCTTTATCATTCTGTGTATCTATTAACATTCTTTATCTACTATTGGTTGTTCCCATGGCAATAATGAAGAAATACTATTAAGCACAGTTTCCAGAACTGAACGAGATTTTTTTTCAAGCCAGTCATTTGAAATAAAAGCTTGTTTTCTGTCTTCATTTCCTCTAGTTTCAGCTCACCACTAATCTTTCAGATAGGCCTACAACATTTTAAAATCTTAAACTGCTACATCAAACATTTTTTTTTTTAATTTCGTTTTACATGCCTGAATGAATCTTCAATTAGTGCCTAAAATAGTACATTTAGGGGGGGGGAAACAGCTTTTTCCACAGCAGGCCCATGACCCACCTGTAAAAAAGTATTCTGTCCATCTCATCAGCATAAGCCTTTCCTGTTTGGGGCTCCTATTCCTCACCTGCCTCAAAAGTGTGTTGTGAAGCTGTCTTAATTAGCCTGGTTACCTAAATGTTTCCTGTTCACTTAATACAGCTGTTGCCTGCTTCCTTTGGGCCTGTTTCCTATCTCCCCCCTTTCCTTTTTCTCTATCTATCCAGAACACACTCA